TTATAATGTTAAAACTTATTATCTACTTTTATAAATACAGTTACTTTGTTGTTGATCCTCTCTCACATGGTTCTGCATGTCTTTTCTTGCGAAAAGGACCAATCAGCCTTTTTCAGGCTGACGAATTGATACCTTACGAAGGATCTCGCCAATACTACAACTCTGTTTCCTACCTGGACCCTAATGTCACCGACTACTTTCGCCCTTTTGAAGCTCTCGGAGTCGGACATTGTACTGGTGGGATCGGTGGTCAGCCAAGCGGAACATTTGACGCCATGCGCGCCTGGGTTGAAGAGGGTATTGTGCCTGATTCATTGGTTGGAACGAATGCCAAGAACCAAACAAATCTAACTTGCCCGTACCCGCAGAGGCCTGTTTTCAAGGGCAACGGCACACAGTTTAGTTCAGAGGATTTTCAGTGTCAATATCTCGGCAGAACAGAGTTTTAAATGCTATTGAACATAGTAGTATTATGAAAATTGAGTGTTATAAGCGACAAAAAAGGAGTCCTCCTTGAACCAAGGAATCGGGGCTAAACACGCACCGACAGCCACGTCAGGAAGAGGTGACCAGTGCGAGGCACACTAGGGTCACGTGACGTGCCATCACGCCAAGACAGAGCCATCAGTGATGGCAGAGCCGATATGTGATGGCAAGTCGAACATCTGATGGCAGGAACAGACTGCAATAAGTATGTAAGATGGATGGATTTCATTACCATACTTGGTGTGGTTAACTCAAATACTTTATCTCTTACACAGATTGTTAGCTAGTTATCCTATTGTATGTAGAATTAGTATTGTTTACCTATTAGTTAACATTGATAACTCTTTTCTACCTAAGCCTTCCATACGATACCTCACGGAATACCGCTTCAGTCTCCCTCGCCTTAGTACGGACCGAGCCTAGAGAAGCATAGCCGAGTCGTCAAGCTTGTTGTAGTATTCGTCAGCTTTGCGCCACGCCGCGCGCAAGTTAATAGCAAGATGATCTTCGAGAGCCTCCGCGTGAGCGTTAAAGTCGACGAGACTATATGGGTGAGCACGCGTTTCGAGTGAGCTAAGGACATATTCCATCACAGATATGACCTCATATACTGCACCAAACTTGCCAGTTCTGCCACGCACTTCAAGACGCTAAGTTGCAAGCTTTATCGGCTCTAAATAGACCTGGTACTAGACGATTATAGCCCAATCAGCAGCTGTCAGCCCATTTAATCTCATCCAGTCAGGCGCTTCGGGCGGCTTGTTGTAGTGATGCTCGGCGTATAGATTGTACGCGGCTTGAAGCTTTGTAGCGCGTTAAAAAGCCGAATAGTATGAGTTCCAACGCGTAACCGCTGGCTTCACCAGCTCAACCATCTGAAGCCTCTCATCGCTTGGCAGCTTGGCGTTGGCCTCCCCTTATTTCTGGCGGAAAAGGTCGTACTGTTGCGGTGTTTTGATGTAGTTGATTATATCAATCAGTACATCCAATGGATCATGTTGACGCTATTGCTGCATGTAGTCTTCCTCAGTACTATAGTGCTCTTGAGCGTTTTGATAGGCGTCTTTATCAGCCCCACGTATAACTTTCTGGCCGATGAGGTTGAGGGTGTGACAAGTACAACGAAGGCGTCGGTGTGCTGGCTCAAAGGCGTAGTCGCTAGCGATTGCGGTGATCGCGGTATCGTTGTTGGCGGCGTTGTCAAGCACAAAGTAGCCCAACTTATCGTGAGTTACATCGTGTGCTTTGAGCGTTTGAACGATGGTTTGAGCGATAGCTTCGCCTATATGAGCGCCTGCGAGCTGAGGTAGGTCGATGGGTAAGTCATGAATTACTCCATCCACGTCAGCAACGTGAGCGATGACACCAGAGAAGCCACGTTTGCCGCCCTTTGTTGTCCAGCCGTCGAAGCTTACATGTATCTTACTGATAGCTGACGACAGCATGTTGATAACTTGAGGCTGTAGGTGCTTGTAGAGCATCATGACGAATGTGGCAACGCTTATTTTACTCACCCATAACGCTGCCTCACCCTCTGGGTTAAGATAATTTACAAGCTCTCGAAAACGCGGCGTCTCGATTTCGCGCAGTGGGTGATTATTGAACCTAGCGAATTTCGGAGAGGGTACGATGACTAAGGGGTAGATAATGATTGAGAGGATAGTGAAGGGGGTGGAAAGGTATGCGAGAGCAAGTAGTCTGGTGAGAGCGTATGATGACATGATGTAACGTAATCTGCGTTGTGCGATATGGATCTCCGTGAGCAATAGGTGTTGCTATAGCTATAACCCGTGAGCTTGAGTTTGCTACATACTCTTATCAAGCCAAATAGATCAAAGAGCTCAACAAGTCAGCCCAAACGCAAAGCCGCTCTCCGAAGAAGACAGATCATGAGAGAAACATGTTTCGTTATTCACATCAAATATCAAACTGCAAACTAGAAGATGGATTGAATGCCAGAAGACCCTGTTCTACTGTTGACGTTGCCTCAAATCATCAGCGAACAAGGAGCCAACAAACCCCCTCTTCTGCTGTCGCACCCATAAAGACTGTCTAATGAGGAACTGTTTCCTCAACCGACTACCACCACCGACAACGGCTCACAAAGGTACCCACCCACCGCAGTCAAACCATCCAGTAACCTTACTCTTACCCATCGCCACGCAGTCGATCAAGAACGCAATGCAATCCACACCTCTCCACCGCATCCTCTTCCTCTGTATCGCCCTCCTCTGTCAAATCTTCTTCCTCCTCATGTTCATCTACCTCTACTTCAATCCGAACGCAGGAGTCACTCTATATGCGTTCCTTGTCTTCGCTATATTCGCTCTCACCATCTACGCCCTAGTTAGTGACATGTTAGAGGTTGAAGAACTGCACGGTCAGCTTCTCGACCTTTTGGACACAATCCGGGAAGTCACCGCGGAGGGAAACGAGGGATGAGATTAGGGGAAGTGTGCGGGGACCATGGGAAGGGGTACACGTGCGCGGAGACGAGATACATGGTCGTGGTGGCGTTGAGACAAACTTGGCCTTTTGTGTTTAGGAAGATGCTCATGTTCTACTAGCAATCCTCCCCATTTCCTGTAAAGCAACGCTCTTGAGATAGCACTTCCAATCCTTCCTTCTATCCTTTTTGCCTATTTTTCCCTCCACACCCCCTCGTACACATGTGTAAAACGTCTTCGTATTCCGCTATTCGAACCTCTCCCAAACATTCGTCCACTGCCTCTACTACATCCACCTCCCCAATATGCCCTCTATCTCGAGCCGATCCTGCATGTCCGCCACTATCACCATATTCCTTCCGACGAGATACAGGAGAAAGATGATAACAACATTAGCCGCAACGACTTTGACAGCGTACCTGCGCTTCCTAGTAGTGTTGAGATACTTGTAAAAGATCTTGCGGAAGATCAAAGCGAGAAGAATGGTTGCAATGAGTGAGGGGAGTTGTTGGAGGATGCGGTAGTGATAAGATGGCATCTTGCGGTGGGGTTCGGGTGGGGTGGCAATATGTGTTCCTGACTTGTGTGTTGATGTCTCAACGTTCGATATTCGATATTCGGTGCTAGGATGGCGGATGCGCTGGATGAAGATACCCGGTTGAGCGCTTGCTTTTGTAGTCACCATCTTGGTAGAACATTGGCCGAGCTTGTTCGTCTTGATCGATGTAAAACTTTGTCTGAGATTGCGTCGACGTGTCGCAAAACTGTCTTTGGGTGTTTGGCTCGAGATGGGACGTGGAGTAAGACATACTGAGCGGCTATGTTTTACCAGAGGGAAACATGTTGAGATGACTCGTCCTGGTATGGTGCTATGTGTAAGACATCGTATACCACGATGCGAACCTACACGGCCATACCAAGGCCGCACCCCTCGCCGTCTTCCCTGCCATCTCTCGTCCAACCCTTCCCGACCTCTCCATAACTCAAGCCATGAAGACCGTCGCGACAACAACACCAACACTGACACCAACCACAACATACCAGCCCTTCTCTACTCTTGCACCCGCCCCCGTCGTCGTTGAAGCCGGAGCCTCAGTCGCATCAGACGCACTAGTTGACGCCGTCGACTGTGCGCTGGTAGTCGATACAGTCAACTCCGCAGTACTCGCATCAGGTGACGTCGTCGACTCTGCGCTGGTAGGCGACGCTGAAGACGAAACAACACTCGCATCAGGACCTGGCGTAATGCTAGAAGACAGCATGCTAGTCGATGCGGTAGCTCCACTCGCGTCCCCAACATACGCCTCAGACGACGAGCTTTCCACGCTTGTGATCTGCGTCGGCGTCGACATTGGCGTTACTGAGACGGACTGCATGCTGACCACCAGCGTTAACGTTGAATTGATAGAGTTGGAATCAGAAACAGAGCAGAGCGCCTGATTATTCTCGTCTGTTATGCAGATTTCGTCGCTGGTGCAGCACAATTGGGCGGCGTAATCACATGCCGTACCGCCGTTGTCGCATGTTTGCGCTGAGGCGACGCTGAGGCAAGCGAGAAGGAGGGGTATTGCAGATATTGAGAGGGTGAAGTGCATGGTGAGTACTAGTCGCTGGAGGGGTGCTGGACGGTGGTGTTTTGGGTAGGAAGGCGGTGTCGCGTTCAGGTCTTTCGCGTCTTGTTGTTTGTTGGGGTAGCATTTAAACAGACGCCGCCGAATCCTTGAGTCGGCCAGACTAACCCCATCTGCCGTATCTCATATTGCACATCTCCCTAGCCTAATCTTCAGGGCTTCGCGCTCGAGCTTCAAGTCTTTCCCGGGAAGGACTTTGGGTCTGTATACTAGTGGGTTGGTAACTCAACCATGCCCATGTGATGGATTGTCAAGGCTGTCCGCTAGGATGGTTGGTCGTCTCTAAAATCAACTTATTCTGACTTTGTAGTCAGCTACACTTGAACATCTTATCTTGCATTTCGACGAATACCAGTGAGGAAAAGTTGAGTCGTGATGAGATTAGGACGATATATTTCATAACCGCTACTCTACCTCCACTCCACCACCACCACCTCTAAGCCATCCCCTCCTCCTTCCTCTGCGCCTTCCTCTCCTCAATCGCCTCTCTCCATTCTCTACCCTTCACAGCAGTCAACCACGTCGCACCCGCGCCCGCTACCAAAAAGCCCGCGCTGATGGTACTGAACCAGCCCACGCCGATAGCTCTAACGGCAGGAAGACAAACCGCCGACCCACCCGCCGCAAACATATACCGCATAAAATAATTCCCCGCCACAACCTCCGCACTCCTGCCCTGCATAACATCCAAACAATACGTATTCAAACTGGGGAAACAAAACAGTTGCGCCACACCTTGGAGAAACATCATTACAACAGGCAGCGCGATGCCGCCAACCCTTTTCTCGACGCTCCACCCGTAGATCAGCATGCAGGCGGGAATGACGACCCCGAGGAAGAAGACGCAGGAGCGGAGGCGGTCTTCGGAGACGCGGTGGCCGCGGAGAAGGATGTATTTCTTGACAATGTGGTCGGCGTAGCGGCCGCCGAAGAAGGTGCCCAGGAGGTAGCCGCAGCCGGGGGCGATGTAGAAGAGGCCGGATTGGAGGGGGGATTGGAGATCGAAGCGTGGGTTTAGTACGTAGCGGATTGGGGTTAGGAGGGAGTACATATTCCACACGAGACTACTACTCGCCAGTGCCGTTAAGAGGATATTCGGGTACCGGTATAGTTTCACCACACGGAAAGGGTTTAGCCACTGCCACATTTTGTGTGCGCGTTCTTTGGTGGGAAGGCCTTCGAGCTCATCCGCACGCTTTTTGTGGATGGTTTCGGGTTGCAGAAAGAAGCAGAAGAGGGTTGCGGCGCCGGCGAGGGCGGTTTGCAGCCAGAAGATGTCGCGCCAGGAACGGAATGTTACGATTATGCCGCCGATGAAGGGGCCGAGGGCGGGGCCGATGAGGGTGCCGCTGAGGAACCAGCCTAGGGCTGTTGCGCGTTCGGTCTAGGTGGGTGTTAGTAGGGGAGATGATGGGGGTGTGTGAGAGCTTTGATGTAGGCGAGTGTTATACACAGCGCTCTTGGGTTGACCCGGACAAGACTAGATCAGAAAAGGTGTACATACCGGTTTATACACATCCCCAATAACCGCACTCCCAATCACCAAAAACGCCGTCCCCTGAAACGCAGTCAAAATCCTAAACACAAAAAAACTCGCCAAATTCGGCGCCAACGCCGTCCCAATCGAAAACGCAGTAAACAACCCCGCGCTCACAACACTAACCCACTTCCTACCATAGATATTCCCATACGGACCGTAGAAACAAGGCGACAGGCCCATGAAAAGCATATACAAAGCGTTGGACACATTGATAATACTCCCATCTGTGTTAAACGTCTCCGCTACTTCAGGAACAGCAGACAACACCGTGGTACTCGATATCGGAGCCAGGAAACTGCAAAAAGAGACTACGGCTACAATGACCATTTTGCGGCGCTCGGTGAATTTGTTGTAGATGACGTCGTTGTCGCCGGTGGCGATGTATTGGACGTTGGCCATGTCGTGGTGGCTGACGGAAGAGACTGTGCGTTGGAGTTGGAGACGGTCTTGGTCGTTTTCATTGCTGCGTGGTTGGGGGATGATGGATGCGTATTCGGTCGTCTTTTCAGGTTCGGCAAAGGAGGAGTTGGTGGGGAGTTGTTGGCCAGCGGGTGCTGAGGAGGATGTGGAAGAGGGTGCCATTTTGTGTACTCATAGAAGGCGAGATGGTAGAATAGATACTAGATTTGGTGAAGGAGTCGGGAAGGGACTCGTGCTGCAGGTTAGAGTGTTTGCAGCGACATTCGAGGTGTTGGAGAATGAAGAGGAGAGGGAGCAAGTGACGAGAGACGTTAGATATGTTCACGATTAGAGTACATGTTGGGCTATCTTGGTGCATTAGCGCTCCTGCAACGGCTTCATATCCGCGGGTGGGGACTGTCGCTGCCCAAGGAGCGTCTTTTCCGTGAAGATTTTCGCCTACATCGTGTCGAGAGGTTATATCCGGTGAGTGGAGTAGCCGACATGGGTGTCGGGCTAAGAATGTCCGGTCGGAAACTTTGCCGCCGTCCATGGAAATGCTCCGAAGTATGCTGCATGCGCGTACCAAGTATCTTCTCGAAGACGACGATACACTAGTAGAGTGGTTGTAAGATAGTGCACGCCTTATGAGTGCTAGCCAATACTGACCTCGGCACATGACTCCTTGGCACACCAGACTTTCACATGCATGATGCAGACGACCATCTCGAGTGAGCTCAGGCGAAGAGCCCGCAAATATATACGTGTATTCGTAAGCCATGCGACAGGCCAAATTTGTACGGTGAAAGATTCTAGATAACCCAAACGTCGATCTTGCCGTGAGATCTCGTGTCCAGAACGCCGATGATGCAGTTGCGCTTTTCAAGCAAAGTAACCCTCTCCCAGCTCATATGCTGAGCTTGTCTAGACTCAGGCGGTCGGCGCTTCTGTGTCGCTTGACCATGCCCAGCTTGTAGAACTTCTCCTCGCCCGTCGCTGTTCGCCCGCCGATGTACCACTTCTCGGCGCCCATGGCTTCGTGGAAGCCTTCGGATGAGCTGTCGGAGCCCCGCCTACCTCGACGCGACGTGCCTGGTATTGGAAAGGCTTGGGCTTTGGGGGATGTGGAGCGGTTGTAGGGGGCGGTGTGTTGTCGGGTGGGTTGGAAGTGGCCTGTCGCTTGGACGGATACGGTTGTCGCACCGGGCGATGGTGAACGCGTCTTTGTAGTGATGGTCCGTGACGACGCGGCTGTTGTGTCGACGGTGTTGTTTTGTTGTGATGTAGTGTTTTGCGAGTACGAGGCCACAGACGCTGCTTGGGAGGCTGTGGTCTTCTGGAGGCTGGGCTGTTGCGCGCGGAAGGCAGCGAGGAAGCCGCCGAAGAACGGGCGGTTGGTGGTCATGGTGGTGGTGGAGCGTGTCTGATCTGGTGAGGGTCGCTGGTGGCTCTGGGGCATAAGATGGCGTCTATAAACGTCGAATACTAGCGGCGGTGTAGAGGTGTGTGTTGTGTTGGCGGCTCCGCAACGGCGTTTCGTGCAGCGACCAAATAACAACAGCACAGGCGGCGCTCCGACTGCGCCGTCAAGCTCGGGCACTGCGACGTTTTCTATTCCATGCGCTGATCCAAGGGGGAGCCGCGGAACAGGGGCGGGTCGTGAGTGATGGTTGGTGATGGTTGACGATTATCGGCGCAAATGTGCGTGTGACGTAGGCGAGCTGCAGCTGGGGTGGGCGTCTACGCGTCTATATGTGAGGGTATGCGGTGCCGTTGATGTCAGCGGGGTAGGCGACGACTGTGTTTATAGGAGACTGGGGAGATGGCGGGGGGAAGGAGGTTTGGCAGGTTTGGCGCATCGGACCGTTGCTGGAGAGGAACATGTCGGAACCCGCGACGCACCTGACAAGATCAAAGTGCGCCTCCCGAGCCTTGACCGAGGCCATCCCCAGTACCTACCCTACTAACAACCACCATTCCAGGATAGCGGAGCCATCGACTTCACCCACGATGCGCTGTTTGGCCTGGCTGTCTGGGTCTCGCTTCGCCATGGTGTGCAGCTCTGACAGATCCACGCCCGCTGAATGGCCGCCCACATCGCAACGGCCACCTACGCCGCCAACCACGCACATCTCCAGAACTCGTTCGCATGCCGTTATCCCGCTTGGCCTTATCGAGGCAAATCATCGTGCACCATCAACTAACGCCCAGTAGTGGACCGCCATGCTCGATATGCGATCGCGATGCATGTTGTGTAGCCGGCTATTACCTGCCGCATTCTTTTAGAGGTGTGAACAGCGCTCACGCATCTTGAGTACGCTCCGAGTGGTTCCGATAGCCCGGAACACCCACGAGGAACATGCGCTTTGCAACATCTCGCATCTCATACGACGCACGACGGTTGAGCTAAACCTCGTCGTGTCCATCCATATCCACCAGAACGCGGGGTAGTCCGAGAATTAGCCCGTCTTCCCCAGATCTGGACATCACATAAAGAGTGACACGGCACTCTTCATGGCGCCGGTGCTCACACACCTTCGTTGACATGTGCGAACGCATATGATCGGCATAGCATTGTCACGTGTTATAGAGCCGCTTGTGACGTAACCATGTGTAGACTCTGTGATCATAGTCGGCAGATAGGTCGAGCATAGCGGCACATCGCTGCACGACAGATATTCATCAGCCTCTCAGAACCATCTCGCTGTACACGAGCGTCATGGCAATCCAACTGCCATGTGCTCCTAAGGCAACCAATCACCTGGGCAGCCCCGTCAGCCTTGTGCACGGGCCTCATCTCCCCTCTATCAGGCAACCCTTTGCGTGGCGCAACTATCACCAACACCCTCCTTCTACTGAGTTCTTGCGACTGCTTTCTTGAGATCTTGTGTAGCCATTCCGAGCCTTCAGTCATCGTGCGACATCTTCTCAATACATCGCTATTGCTATGGCGACCTTCTCCCTCCTCCCCACCGAGCTCGTGGAATACATCGTAGCCTATCTCGCTCAACACGACATATACGCTGTTTGTCGAGTCAACAAGAGTCTTTCCAATCTAGCCATACCATTCTTGTACCGCCATGTTGATCTCTTCATACCACCGGGCAACAAACTCCCCAGGATCGATCGCTTCTGCCTAAACATCATCAGCGACAGCCGCAAAGCCAACAATGTGGAGTCAGTCCGCTTGGGACTGTCCCCAAGCGAAGATGTTAAACAGGGTCAGCGGTGGCTGGCCCCAGACAAGACCTTTGACGATCGGCAGATGTTTCGGAAAGCCATGGTTGCGTTGAGTGATGAGACGTTGGTGGCTGCGGGAGACTATCTGAGAGACGCCATCTACATGCGCGAGTACTCTGCCTATGCAGCGCTCGCCCTTCTTGTCCTTCCAAAACTCCGTCGACTCGACGTAGCAGACTACAAGCAGGCCACCTTCGACCACCTCCACAATGTCCTCCGCAATCTCGACCCCGGGACTTTATGGAACCGGCGCTATCCATCGCACGTTCTTCTTGATCGCCTCTCATCCATCAAAGAAGTATCTCTCATGGTTGATCGCAAGACTGGGGTCTGGTATCCCGGAGACAACAACCGCAATCCGATCGGCCACTTCTTGAACATCCCAGGCATTGAGAAACTCGAACTGTTCAATCTAGGCGGGCAGTCGCATGCACATGGTGTGGCTATATCACATTCACTGATAGCCTTTCCAACAGCCACTAACATCACTACGTTGGTCTTCCGACACTCGGGTGCCTTCAACCGGGGTCTGAAGTCGTTGTTCCAATGCACGCCAAAGCTACGGTCTCTTACGTACGACTCCTACTTCAACGCCCAGGCACAGACTACCCAGCGAGGAGATCTGCTTATGGTAGATGCCTGGAACGAGCACCTCAGACCCCTACAATCCACCCTGGAAGTCCTAGTCCTCACCGCGGAATACTCCGATCCAGACGCCTTCTTCTTCGCCCAACCACGCATCGGCGATAGACTCTGCGGCTTCCTCGATCTCACCGACTTTACTGAACTACATACCCTTGAAGTCGCCTTCCCCTTCCTCACTGGCGACGTTGACTTCTCCATCACCAAGGATATTTATCCCCTGTTCCCGCCAAACCTACGTCACCTCACGCTACGCCCCGATCTCTCGCACGCCCAACTTCCCTTCCCCTTCGACTCCTCCATCCTACCCAACGGCCTCACATTCGAAGAGTCAAAACAAGAAGCGCAGTGTCTGATGAACGCCCGCATGGACGTGTCCTATATGTTCCAAGCCTCCCTCTCCCTCCTCGACTTCTGGCCAACTCTAGAATCCATGTCCGTCTGGCAGCCCGCTGATCCATCACTCGAGTGGTTTGACGGCCAGATCGAAGACTTTGCGACGACGTGTCGGAACAAGAATATCACGGGTAGGCTTCTGAAGCCTATGTTGCTGAGATGGAAGAAGGCAGAGCATTGGGATTTGATGAAGGAGACGACGCTTTACGATCGGAGTGATCCGCAGTTGGGTGTCGTGGATAAATTCTGGAGGGAGGAGTGGGAGGGGAGGCCGCTGGGGATGGGGTGTCAGTATCATTTGAATGCGCTGAGTAAGGGGAAGGTCAAGCTGCGGAGGTAGGAGTCTGCTGGACTCTCTGGAACATACGTATGGCACATCCTTCTCGCAATCTCTTCCGCCAGGAAGAAACAATTTTCTTGGGCATTCCAATTCTGGCTCAGACAAACTGTCCTGCAACTTCAATTGCTCTTGAGCAAACATTTGTCATGCGATAGCTGTCGCCCCAACATTCCCAGGCACACTCATACTCTCCCAACCACTACCAACAACGCCAATAGGAACGGCCATGACAACCGACTACGACTTCTCCGACGAGTTCACTACGGCTCAGTACCTACCTCCCGGACGAAACCTTATCCTCATGGAAAACCCCCCGCCGCCCCTCCCACCAACCCAGTCGCTCCTTCAAAGAATAGCCTACGCATTAACCCCCCAACTCACGACCCACCACCTCCCCTTCGTCGTCCTTGTCGGCCTTGTTCCGATCTTGCTTCGCCATTGCACGGTGCTTATCAACGACTGCTGGCACTGGCGTGTGAAGCTAACATCTTTCCTAAACGTCTACGTATACGGCCTCATCCTGTTTGTAGTCGCGAAGGGTATCTGGGACACTGAGGTGTCGTGGGGTGAGCTTGGGGAGGTGTACAGGGCTTTGAACATGTGTATGGCGATGGCGACGATGCCGCCGGAGAGGGGGACGGGGATCGTAGGGAGATGGATTCATAAGGATGAGTAGTTGGGGGAAGGGGGCGTGTGTGGGATGAGGAGATGGGGTTGGAGGGTTGGTGGGTGGAGTTGGCTTGGGTGTGGGAGTGATGAGAGTGTTTGCGTGAGGAGGTAGGAGGGGGTGGAATAAGTTCGTTATGAGGAAATTGATACAAGTATAGAGCTTGACAAGCATTCCAAACCTAGCTACGCGCGAACTAGCGTCATGTTCTCATCCAAGAACAACCTTTATTCCTATGCACGCGATTCTTCGCGCCCTCAAGAGGAGCAACAGCTTCAATAGCATAGCGGAAGTTAATAGGCAGTGCAATTACAACAAGTCAGAGCGGCATCCAGCCTTGGGACAATACCTAGGTATTTTCTCTAAACTCCGTTAAATGTAAGACGCCGCAGTAGTACATTACACGACAACGTAGGCATAAGCGGAAACTAGTGTATTGCTGCTATACAATTACACATAATTGTCTTGCATCTCGTGTAGCAAATTAAGAGACGAGGTGGTGTAAGATGGATCTAAGACGTAAGCATAGGTAAGTACAAGGCTACTACGCACTCAGATATGTACCACCTACATTATGTGTTATTTCAACTCGCTTTTTCCCTTCCTCCACTTCGCGCGTTCGGTCCATCTTTGCTTTCAGCTCAGCCTTTCATGTCCCTTTTCTCCAACGCTTGTACGCTGTTCTCGTACTACTCGTCGGCACGTCACAGTACATCGTCCGCCAACTGCTTCCTCTTCTTTGAGTGCGCAGCAAAAGTCAGCATCACGCCCACGACTCATTTTATCTTTACTATCAGTAGGTGTGGGTTACATCATCGAATGTTCCAGTATTGTATCCATTTCGCGTTCGTCGTTTTCGTCGTATCTGCGGGACCACACCTCTTGAGCCTCGATTGGTACTCAGAATTAATGAGCTGTCTGACGAGAACCTTATGAGCGTTGAGCAATTTACTCGCAATTTTGTTATGTCCTCTCGCTGAAGCAATCTGTAATGCGCTGCCGGCTGATCCATCAATGGCGTTCGCGTCCGCTCCGGCATCAAGAAGCAGCTGTACTATTGCGTCGTGGCCGCAAACCGAGGCTCCCTGTAGTGCGCTGCCAATCGATCCACAAATGGCGTTTATGTCGGCTCCCGCCGTAATAAGCAGCTCTACTACTGGTTTGTGTCCCCAAAATGAAGCTGCGTGAAGCGCACTGCCAGATCGTCCGTTCTGCGCATTGACCTGGGCGCCCTGGTCAATGAGTAGTTTCGCGATCTTACTCAAGCCTAACATGGCTACGTAGTAAAGGGGCATCGATATTTCATACGAGTCTGATCCCCTGTCTGCCGTGCGTATGTGGGTATCGATGCAAGTATTATCCGGGCCGTAGATCCGGATCCAATTGGCATATGCAGGGTTTTCCGTTGATAAGAGCCTCATCGCTAGCTGACTCAGTTCTTTCTCATCTTCTCCAGCCTCTTCGAGATGGTCGCTCCAGAACCTTGCTGAGTACTGGGCGAGCGTAGAGAGTCCAAGAAGTCTCGTCGAGATTGGCTCCTGGAACTGGTTCAAATACCCCAAGCAACCCTTCGCTATCGTCTTGTGACACTCCAGCTTTTGCATACTGTATTCCTTCGCTGGTCCTTTCTGAATCCTGTCTGATACAAGATATTCCTGGACTGAATAGTGTGCAAGAGTGATGATACGTGAGCCACATCCTGAACCCTCTTTTCCCTCGTCATTTGTAATAGTGACCAGACTAGCGCAAATGTTCAACACTTCCAGGGGATCTACTAGCACTTCATCGCGGTCGAAAATTGGTTCGCGCCTAATATCGAGGGCAACGACTTCAGCGATCTCTCCGACCGAGAGCGGCCTGGCAGAAAACGTCAGCCATTGCAGGATTCGCATTGCGTACACGCGATCGTCTTCGCTTATCGCAGTGAGAATACGATCATAGGTCTGGTCCAGAGTTTGCGGCAAAGTGGCGAGCGACTTGCGCAGCATTGCTAAGTTGCGACACTTTGCTATCATGTCCAGTTGACATACTGCCCATCGAAACCTATTCTATTGTCAGCTCCGGCGCTATGGAAGTTAAGCGGATACACGTACATTCCTTGGGCTCCACGCCTGAGTGCTGTCTCGATTTCTCGTCTAATAGAGGCGTCCTTGTTCCACTTTTCTAGCCGTTTATCGTCGCGCAGCCTTTGCTGAGCAAACCTCAATATGTCTTCATCCACTACGCATCTCTGAAGACAAATGGTATCATCTTTTGGTACAAATGTTTCCAAAGACATCTCGATATCCCGTTCTTTCCGGCTGGTCATAAGCAGATGGACGTTGTCAAGCTGCCACCCAGCCACGGTTTCAAGTATGTCCATCAGTTCTAGGCGTTGTGTACATTCGTCGAGCGCATCCAGGGCTATATAAACATGCGTGAATTGCCGTATCATCTGCGGTGCCACCTCCAGAAGTGCGGGTAGTGGCGGCTGTTGGCTTCCGTCTCCACAGGATTTAAACAACTTGTCGAGATCCTTGGGTATCATAATCGAACGGTGCAGGAGCTGACTGAACAAAGAACGGATCATCAGCTCTGGATCCTGTTTCTGCGCATCCATGAAGTCGAAGTAAAAATACACCGTCACCATGCTAATGTCGTCATGGCAGTACTGCATCAGATGCTCGATAATAGTAGAGCTGAGGACAGTCTTTCCACAACCTGGAATTCCATACAGCCATAGTCGCGACGCCGCTGTCTCCCTCCACTTCTTCAACTTTGTACTTCGCAGCAGCCATTGCCCGGTTTCAGCTTCCCGCTGCTTGTGCGCTTTATTGTAGTTCATGGATGGGTCGGGGGCGGAAAGCCAGTTGCGTATCTTGGCATTCATGACCAACGCTCCATCGGTGCTTTCTGAAGCTTCCTGCACTTCCTTCTCTAGTCGCTTCATCGCTTTCTCTCGACCTTCGCCATAGATCAACGGTAAGTGGCATCCGAATATACCTAGCAGACAGTAGGCCTTGTCCTCTTCTCTTGTCGTTTGACGATGCTGCGCCCAAGAAAAACGCTCAGCAACCTTGAACCTGGACAAGTCGCCTCCGGGCAAAGCTGTGAGAGGTATCCCCGTAAGCTCATATATGGTTTGGTTAAGCGATCCTTTGTCACCCAGCCATTCCCCGTCTTTAGAGAAGAATTCGACGGATCGTGGAGCTAGAAGCTCTTGGAGGGTCCAGCCTCTAGTAAACCACCTGCTTGCCTTGAAAGCTGCCTTCCATCTTGAAGATGACCTGCCGTCCTCGTCCGAGGACTTGCGCTCGACGTCTGAGAGGAAGACGTAGCACTTTTCTGATTTCTGATACCAGCGGAACATCGAATTGATTGCCTCCGAGAGTTCTGTGTTGTTTGCCTTATCGATGCAGCAGGTGTCTACCCAGAAGTATTTCAACTCGTCATGCTTCGCACGCTGTGCACAAAAGCGAATCTTGTCCCAACCCTCTTTTTTCTTTGCTATCGCTTCATTGTTGGCCTCAATATCCTTCATACTATCCAGGCTTCTCAGATCGTCGAAGGTCACCTCTTGCTCTCCCCAGGTATGGGACAGGATGGCATAGCGAGGCATTTCCTCACTACGAATGATATCTTTTGTCCATGCGATTTCTCCATCGTCTGTCATATAAAGGAACCGCATTGCGTTGTGTTTGTACCTGCACGCACTACCTAGGTAGTGAAACTCCCGAAGCCACGAAGCAGGTCACGATGACCAAAAGGACATAGCCGCTCGTTGAACAGCAAAAGTAAGTGCTTTCAACTCAGACTGCTATCCAGAGATTGTCTGCGAGCTCCGTCCACGTCGCAGTTTGGTGGCGGATCGGTAGTGAGGGCCCTTCGGTAATATGACGCAGCGGTTCATTCATGCGGGTCATCGGATTCGAGATTAGTGAGATTATTGCGAGTGTTCCCAGTGGTCTGCAGATTTAAGTGAAGAGGGAAGAAAAGCTGGTCTCCCGGCGCTGACTGTTGGGGACTGCATCTTCGACACCCAAGGTGGAAGGCTCAGCCCACAGCCAGCCCACCTGCAGCGGTGGCGTTCACTACAGGAAGGCGGTGCAAGGCTGAGGAACCATCGCTATGCGACGGCGACGGCGACAAGCGGTAAGTGAGACACCAAAGGGGGTAGAGACGCGATGGCTGATGTAGACAGCATGATGCGCAAGCTGCCCAGGTGTTGTTTATCAAAGGAGCATGCCGGCGCTCTTTTATTAGAGGTTCCCGAGATCTACGGAGTACCTAGGTACTCAGGCGGCCTGCCAAGGCTTGTCACCACCTTGTTTAGGGAAAAGAAAAGACATGTGACTGACACCGTATTCTCTAAAGGGCTGAAACTCAGAAGTCTACATTACCTTCAACTGCTGGCAGATGTTCATCGTGCGCCAATGTAGGTAGACTGCAGCGCGCCTATTATCCCAATCAATTTCTTCCTCTTCTTCCGCGGTACAACCTCTTCGCTACCAGCTCAACCACAACTTCTCCTCCATGTTCGCTCGAACGTCCATCTCTACTGGTGGAATCCCACCTCGTGCAGATACAAACGTCGTGAAATTAGCCCTCTGCGCATTACGCCGACGCCGAACCGCGCATTGAGCCTCACCGCGCATTACGCCGTGCAGCTACTGCGTACAGTCTAGGCTGCCTCGCTTGGAGGGATCTATCAAGTTGATGTCGAGTTGCTATTGGGTAAACGCTCCGAAGTTTCATAATGGGAAGGAGGATGTGCGAAATGGTAGTCGAGGAAGCGAGCGAGGGACACAGTGTAGGTAAGAGCGGTGAGATAGAGATCTAGGAGACGAGGCTGAGAAAGCGTCAGCAATACATATTCGAAAGCGACACCAACAAAACCAAGCATGAAAAAAAGCTTTTGAAGCCAAGTGCGGAGGTGGAGATATCGTGAGCTTGTTTCGTTTCGTGCCTTCGCTGGACTCAAACATGCGGAGGTTGGTTCAAAACAGGGGTACGGGCCGACACTTGCTGTTCCCAGATACGAGAGGGACCTGAGCAGATCAGGACTCACCGAAGCAAGTTCTTCGTGCGTTCTCGCTCGTCTCGTGATAAGGCGATTGCAATCTATTCATTTACATCGTGGCTAAATCTGAGTCGCGGATGCAAGAAAATGGTCAACATGGCTTTCGTTCAAGGTTGATAAGAAGGGCTTTGTCCACTGCCTTCCTCCTCATCCTGCGCCAACCTGAACGTCAATATCACAAAGAGAGGCATCTTCTAACTCTCACACGCCAGCACAATGCAGATCTCCGCTCTCATCCTCCTCTTCACCGCCACGGCCTCCGTCTCCGCCTGGGTACATCTCCCTCCCATCCCCCATGACCCCTTACCCCCTCCCCCATCCCCATCCCCATCCCCCCGTCTCCATACCCATCCACCCAACTAACACTCCCACCCCCAGCAATGTTTCGACCACGACGAGCACTTCACCACCAACCACGCCCAGCTGTCCGAAGGCAGCGACCCCAACAACCAATGGGGATACTGCCCATCTAAGACAGGATGCTGCGCCGATGGCAAAACGTGGTATGCGTGCAAGAACGTGAGTTTAACCTCGCCGAGATCTGTACTGGTAAGGATGGTGAAGCTGATTAATAGGTAGGTGTGCAAGGGTGGTGCTGCTTGCAGTGTTGGTGGGGGAAAGACTTCTTGCTAGAGAGGTGGCGAGCTGGGGATGTGTATATAGAAGTCGATTATTGTTGCTTGGAGGCGGCATGTCGCAAGCCTGAATGGAGGAGTGGAATCATTTTAATGCTGAATGTCGATGTGCTTCGTTTCCATCTTGGTCATTGACCCCTGCCATGCTACCGAAGCTCTTTTTTATTGTCAAACACCACTTCTTGAGAGTTAGTCAGTATGTGGCAAGCCCTGGGAGACTTTTGAATGTAGTAAGATGGAAGTTGGATAATGTCAATAAAAAACGACTATACTCTAGTCCCTACGCTCTCAAACACCCAAACGCCCAAACCGCACAGCAAGAAGGCTATGACATACGTACAGTACGATATCAACCAAAACAACGAGAATGCAGCCCTAGCCCAAGAACGACGTGATGGAATTCAAGCGTTACCGTGCCTAAGCGCATCTCTCATCTACGCACCACCAGCCCTCCCCGTAGTCGTAGCACTACTAGGCTGATCATTATTCCAAGTCAAATACGTATGATCCCCCAACTTGCGCGGCTTGATCAGATGTGTAGCCAGGAAGACCGCTCCGAGCAAGATGCAAATGCCGCCGACAACGAGGTATGCGATGCCGAGGAAGGGGTTTTTGCCGCCCATGACGGTGCGTGTGGAGATGAGGATGGATTTTGTGCCGCTGTATTTGTCGACGGGGTAGCCTGGGGGTGGGTTAGTGGGAGGTGTGGGGAGGGGGAGGAAGGGGGAGGACGGGGGAGGAGGGGTGGAAAGGGAAGAGCGATGGAGAGAACATACGGTCATAGATCTTAAGACGATAGGTACCAGCAGTCAAAACGTCCTTGTCATTACGCTGGTACAATTTACTGAATGTAGGCAGACCCGCAGTCCTCATCCAGACCTGGAACTGCTCCCAGGTATGCAGGTTAGGCAGCTTATCGCCGTATCGCCCATTCTCGTATTGTTCCTGCCAGTTCGGTGGTGGAACGACATCCTCAGGTTTGTACTTTGTCTCGCCGTAGAGATCGCCCTCGTGGCTCCATGACGTTCCCTCCACAGTCATTGTGTAGTTCTGGCCACCGGCATTCGTGCCACCCGCGGGGTTGGCCAGCGTCAACTGGCTGAATGTGTCGTTGAACATGGAGTTCGCGATGAGACCGCAGGGGTAGTACGGCTTGCCTGTCTCGGAGTCTACGTCCAGCGGCGAGCAGTCGCCCGAGCTGAGGTCGCTGGCACTGCGGGCATCACCCTTGAGTTGTTGGATATCGACGGACTTGACGTAGCGGCGGTGGTTCTGGTAGAAGTTCGTGAGGCGGTAGTAGAAGAGGATCGGCGGCTTGATGTCCTCTGGGATGTTGAAGCTGAGGATGCACACGTTTGTCTCTTGCTCGACACCGGATTCGAAGGTGTAGTTCTCGCGTCCCCAACCCCACATCGCCTGGGGATCTTCCTTGGATCTGAAGGTCGCGGACACTCGTCCGCCGGGAATTGGGTCGAGCGGGTTCTCGGCGTTGGGGTCGAAGTTTACGGGGACTTGGGGCGCGGTGCTGTTGCAGTTTGTGTAGTCGATTGAGATCTCCTGGACCTGCGCGCTAGCATAGAGAAGAAGGCCGCCGATGGGGGCAAAGATAACTCCGACGATGAAGAAGAGAGGCAGAACGGTCTTCGGCGTTAAGATGGGCCTGATGCGCGGTTAGTCGTGGGTATTGCCATCTCCTGCCCTGATTCCACCTACTGCCATGCCTTCAAGCGCTGCTGCCTGAACGCAGTATCTAGTATCCCATCAGCAATGTCCTCCTTCGCGCATGTCCATATCAGGCTTACTCGGCGGCCTCCTGCTCTTGGTCTTCTTCGGCTCGTCGCGGCTGGGGTCCTGGCTGCTGATGGAGTCGGTATGCTCGACCTGCTGTGTGCGCGACATGATGGGCGGTTCCGCGCGACTCGGCGGAGTCGATTGGTGGAGTGAAAGGTAGTCGTCGCGGACGGGAGGAGTGGTGGGAACGCGCGGGTTTGAGGTCGGCCAAGCCGTTGTCCCAAATTAGTGACAGAGCAGCCGCGCCACGCCTGCACGCCTGTGGAGCTTACGCATCCCCGCCCGAGACCCTGAGCCTTTCACGGACGTATCACGGACTCGTCATCGCAGCAGCATCGCAGTACCCCATCAATTCATCAACGAATATTTAAGCGGTCCCAAGGCATTGCGGAGAACATTCAAGTTATGTGAGATAGTGCATTCTGGTCTAGTACTAAACATGATAGAAAGCCTGCATTTGCGGCGACAATGTCCACACGGGACTACAACATTCGTTGGTGGGAGCTGAGGGGTATCGCATGCCGTTAGATAAAGAAAAGGAAAGTCGAGAAGCCCAAATACGCCATGAGGGAGGACAGTATCCACTCCCGAACACCTGTTCATACCAACAGTAATATCCATAAAACCCATCGAAACGCCGTTCATAATATCATGCGGAGGAGGACATCCATCACTCCATGTAAATCATACCAGTCTTATCCAAAGAAAGCGAGCCCAGTCAGGTGGGCCGCGAGATGCAAAGTGCAACTTGATGCATCGTAACCAAGAAGAGTAAAAAGAATGGGAAGGGCTATGCGATGCGGGCTCAGAGGTACTGGCGGAAGTAGTCGGGGTTGAACCAGCCTACACGGTCATATGACTGCCACAGTTTGCTAGCCTTGTTGACGTCAATCTTGCACGCCTGCTGGGCATCTGTCTTGCGGAACTCTTTGCCAATCTTCAGAGCCTCGATGCGGGCCTGGAAGATGCGTCGCTTGCTGGTGAGGTAGGTGGCGCAGTTGAGGCGGAGTGTGCCAGCGAGGTTCAACTCAGCCTCGTGCAGCAGCTCGCGATCGGGATCGTCGGCGAGCGAGAGCGCTTGCCCTTTCCACTCAGCCTTGAGCGCCTTGGTATTGCCCTTGGGCAGTGTGTCCAGGGGTGGGGCGTAGTCGGGGATGGCAGTGTAGTCAGAGTCGTCGCGGT